CATATCGGTCCCCCCGCTGCAAAGCCCTTATGTAGTCGCGGGGGGGTTCAATGATGAGGCTCCTTGAAAAGTTGCCGGTGCGGAGGACGGTTTGTAGGAGGGCCAGGAGGGTCCCGTCATCAGCATCGTCGACCTTGTCGGCCTCCGTTCTCCAGCGCTCTAGGAAATCCCGAAGGGTCTCATCCCTCTTCTGGCGTATTGTTAAGAGGTGGGAGAAGTGCTTCCTTGTGCGACGCCTCCCGGCAAATTGTGTCAAGAATCGTTGGGCGAGTTCTTGCCACGAATCAGTACAACCCTCGGGCAGCCTGTTGAACCATTCGTATGCCGGTCCCTCTAAGGTGGAGAGGAACCAACGACACAAATATTCGTCTGACGCCCCCACCATCATCATGCTGTTCTGGTATTTGCTGTAATGTTCATGGGGGTCCGTTTTTCCGTTGTAGGGCTGTATGTGTTGCCCTCGGTATTTTTCCGGGATCCGGGCCGCCAATACCCTTGGGGTAAATGGCGTCCGAGTCCGGAGCTGGATGACGGGTTCTCCGGAGCCCTCGGCCACCTTCTTCTGCAACTCCTCCATTTTGGCCATCATGGCCTCGTATTTGAGATCTGAATGAGGGGTGGAGGTGGTGGCGTGAGCTTTGTTGGACTCCATCTCGTCAAGCCGGCGTTGGAGGGCCGCAATAATCTCGTCCCGGGGATCCTTCGGGAGGGTCTCCGCCCCCTGCGAACGAACCCGGGCCGAGTGGGCCTGGTTGATCTGGTGGCGAGCGTCATCGGCATGAAGGGGTGCCTTGCCTTTGTCCCGAGGGGGACACTCCTCGTCTGCCCTCGAAACAGATCCCCCGCTTTCCTGGGGCCTTTGGAGTGCTTTCCCCCCGAGGCGGTCTTGGACCCCTCGGCGGTCTGGCCCTCCTCCGAGCCGGTTGAGGGCGGAAGTACGGGGCCTTTCCCTGTTGTCATTATGGCGGTCCCGGGACTGAACTTCCTGGGAGGACGTACCTTGGGCCACCACCCCTTCGTCGTTTCTCACCCGAGAGGTGGGATTTCCGAAGGGATGTGGCAGAGGGGGAAGTATGATATTTTCCCCGATCTGGGGGTGAGCTGGAGCCAGGGTGCCGAAGGCACCCGGGTTCTGAGTGAGCGTCTGGATGAAGGCGGAGAGCGCCGATTGCACGTCGATGGTGAGAACCGGAGGGCTGACTTGGTCATCGCTCCGGTTTTTCTTCTTGGCCTCGATGCCGAGGCGGGCATCGGGGGCATTTTGTTGGATCTGAAGGCGTAGGTCGACAGCCGCCTGTTCCAGCCCAGCGATGACACCGCCCTCGGGAGCCCTGTGAGAGGCTTCGGGGGCGTTGACGTCGCCGAGGGCCAGGTTCTTGTCTTCTACGTTCTTTGAGTTGGCACGTGTTGTCCTCACCATTTTGATAGAGGGCTAGTGTTTTGTGTTTGGTCGAGGGGGAGGGTTTCTTACTTGATTGTTCGACCTCTCAACGAGAGCACCAAATGATGGATAGTCTACCCGGGGGTATATATCCGAGGGGTTATTGCGGGGAATAACTTAGAGAGAAGTCAGAGTAAGCAAGTAAATGTAGAGAGAGAGTGTGTATTCAGTATGAATGCCGTTTTCAGCGTGGTTACAAATGGGGAAATGGGGTGCTATTTATAGTAGCAATAAATGCCGGACAGGGACACGTGTCAAGCGCTCATTGGCCGAGGGGTCACCTCAACTGGTTGGCGCTGGCAGCCGCATGTGGCCGCATTTAATGCGGCTGTTGGATGGGACGTCTGTACAGGGTACGGTGATATGTACGCATGTGAGGCGGATATATTGTCGAGTGAGATGCCTTCGGCTATAGAGCAGTAGCTGAGGGCTCCTCCAACCGATGGCACCCTGGTGCCGAGGGCTCACAGTGCCGAGGGCTACTGTTTTCGCCGTTTTCTCCCAGTTTCTTAGTTTGTTTGAGAAACCCGTTCTGTGAGAGTTTAGAGCCTTCGGCCAGGGGGCCGAAGGCACCCCTGGCGCATAGTGCGGGCTGCTTGGTACTCTGGGCGCTGTGATTTGGGCCTTCTGGGCCTGTTGGGCCTTCGCTGGAGTAGTAGGAGTCTGTGGGCCGGGGGTTCCCGGGCCATATACTCCATCACGTCGCTATGTGGGACAAGCGAGCTGAGCTTGTTGTGACTGGGACACTGACATTAGTCCCATCTGTTTCAGGAGACTACACGGGATGGTATTACAACATCACCCGTTTGTTTGTCTCTTTCGTTCAGACTCCCTACTCACCATTATGAGCCTAGTTCCTTGGCTTTGCTTCTGACGGTAAGTATATTACTAATTACTAAAGTAAGGAGTTTTCTTTACTTAACACTTTTATTTATTTCTAACTAATTGTAATTGCGTTTCATATTTTAGACACGAGCTTTGCAGCGTATACATCAGCAGGCTACTGCCACAATGAGTGATACGCATGACGTGTACATGTACGGTCAGGTTTTGACGGGCATCGCCTCCTTATGTTCATATGTGTTGGGGCGAGTCGACTACGGTCATCTTATACATATGCCCCCATCTCAGGATATTCCATCGATATCTAGTGCAGCGACAGCTTCATCATCCCAGATTCAGCATGAGAGAGTGGTTCTTCAACCACGCCAGCGGCGTAGGCGTAGGCAGCAACAACAACATCTCCATGACCAAGACGATCAAGAAGACCATGAGAACTTGTAGCTTGTCTTTCGTATTTCCACCTCTAAACTCTTTTATGATGTGTTGGTGTTCAATTATGAATATTAGATGACTATTGTGTTATGAATATTGGGTTATTGTAATGTGTTGTATCTGGTTCGTAACCCCTAAATATGAGAAATGAGACCTTGTTTATATTAAGGGGCAAGTCACCAAACGGTTGGGCGACTTACCCCGACCATGATTAATCCCAGCAGTATATCGGTAAATACTTTTAACCCAACATTATTTTCGTAATTAATTAATTAATTAATTAGCATTAATTCGAAAAAAACTCGATTTCTTTAATTTAAACCAGTAGCATTTAACAATTAAAATAAAATTTAATGCAATCTAACTTTATAGTTACACATATAATTAGTAACAGTGTATGATAAATAAAATTTATCATACATTATTGAAATGTACTTGTAATATCCTTTTCATTATCCTCTACGATTTCCGTCTCATTTTTATGTGTCTTGTTTTGATTTGACCAATTATTAATAAAGTGATTGAAAAAGTAAAATTTGTTGTTGAGATTTGAATGTAATAAAGTGAAATGATGCGGACCACATTTTTTTTGCCAAAAAGAAAAATATAACACATATATTGGAACAATCCCAAAAGAAAAGAAGACATAGAATAGGACATGAGTATTATTTTAACTAGCCTTTCTCCTACTACTACTAATCCACCCTTATTATGTGGACACCGAGTGTGAATTATAGGCATATAATGGTTTTACATCTTCTTAATTTCTTATGTTTTAACATGCCTACTAATTAAATAACACAAGAGTCCATTACTTGTTTAAATATACTATTGATATTATTACTATTGTAATTATTCATCAATTTCTAGTAATTAATTTTAATAAATTTGAACCATTTCCACTAACAAAAAACTTATTACGATTTTGCTACTATTCTAAACGTTTTTACACAATTTTTGTACGTTTTTTACGATTTTATCAGCGATTTGAATCGATTTATCAATGCAGTATCGTAAAATCGTACGATTTTACGATTTAAATCGAGATTTTAAGAACCTTGATTTTTTGTTTTAGATAACGTTTTGGTTAGAGTCAGGAGAGAATAACGATAGAGAATCTAGATAGATCATAATTGGTTTACAATTATCAAGTGGAGATTAGTGAATCAGACTTCTTTTAAGATGAGTGATTCTAAGTTTGGTGGACATATGATCGAACTATTGTTTCTGATCTTTGTAACTTGTCTATTTTCTCGGGGTTATATGGTATTTGTGATTTTAAAAAAAAATCACAAATTTTACTGATCTTCCTCGAAAAAAAATTACATGTTCTTAATTACTTTTGTTATTATAGAAATTAGTTCAAATAGGACTAAAACTATGGCAAAAACCTAAAATAGGACTTGCTATGTTTTTATTCCAAAATAGGACCATATGAGTCCTATTGGAAACATACCTATTTTTGCATTCCATTCTTACCCTTCCATTAAATATGAATTAAAAATAGTCAAAAGCCATAATTAAATGTTTAATTCATAATAAATTCGAAAAAAAATCAAAAATTCGTAGAAATATAATTAAAAAATTAATAAAATTTTTATAAAATAAAAAATTCAAAAACTTTTTTTTATAAATAATTTTATTTTTAAAAAAATTAATAAAAAATAGTTAAACTCCGTAAAAAAAATTTAAAAAAATATGGATGCCTTTCCCACCGCCTGTACTACCTCCCAGCACCACCACCTCCGGTCGATGAAAAAAATGCCATTTTCCCAGAAAAATGCCATTTTTTCTGAAAATGCCAAAAAAGTGGCATATTTCTCTTTTCGAATGCCAACATTTTCATTTTTTTCTGCCATAAGTATGACATTCGTAATGAACTCTGCATTTTTTTCCCCTGGTGACTGGAGGTGGTGGTGCTGAGGCGGCAGAGGCGGCGACGTTTTGTTTGAGTTTTTTTTTAATTTTTTTTAATTTTTTTAATTTTTTGAAAAAAAATTAATTAAATTTTTAATATCAAAATGTTTTTCTTAATTTTTTAGTATTTTTTACGAATTTTTATTATTTTTTATTATTTTATTAGGAATTAAAACATTTTAATAGCTATAAGAGTATAATTGTCCAAGATACACATAATTAGTCTTATACAAACATAGTTCATTTTTTGGTCCTATTTGTGAAAAGTGAATGACTTTTAGTCCTATTTTGATAATTAACTCTTGTTATTAATAAAAAAAAAGCTCTCTCACGGTTAGTTGCTGTAGCTTGAATTTCCAAAACTAACCTGTTCATTGACGTGGAAAGGGTGGATCTGCTCCTATTCAGACTTCTCTTTCCGTTTCCTCCATGAATATGTAGATATCGCGAAGGGAAGAATAAAGCAGAAGAAATAGGGGGGAATTGAGGGAAGAAAATTAGAAAGGAGACGAGATCGATCTGAAGTATGGAAATTTATCGGTCCATTTTCGGATTGGGAATCATTGTCTCCGTCCTTTGTATTTCAGCAACAGCAGCTGCCGCAAACGATGACGTTTCACACGCCTCCCCTAATGCGTCTGCTACCTGCAACAATCCATTCACATTGGTATTTCATTTTTCTCCCATTGATTTTACACCGCCTGAGCATTTCCCCATTTCGCATATGCGCCTTTCAGCGTTTGCATTTTGCGTATGTGTATTTCAGCGTTTCCCCATTTTGCATTTTGGTAGATTAGGCTGTAGAGTTTGACAGAAGATATTCATATATTGATCTTTGGCGTAACTGATTGGAAAAAACTAGTGTTAGTGTTGGAATAATTGATTTGGCTACTGCTGGATGGCTGCACTTCATATTAAAGTTGTCACCTATGTTAATACTCCGCTGGAGTTTTAAGAATTTTGGTCTTGCTCTCTATGTGATTCTGTCTCGGGATATAGAGCCATAGACGCACTTGAGTGGTCGTCATTCAATGACATAATACATTAGTACATCAATACCACATTGAAAGCGGAATGGGGGATGATACAGCACATTTAATGATTTAAGAGGGTTTTTCTCTCTTCTGGAGAGGTGGTTAGTGGTTTGCTTAATATGTATAGCTCATCATCATCATCATCACCCCAGTGCCGCAACGGCTCCCACCTATGGTGGGGTAGGGGGGTCGCATGTACGCAGCCTTACCCCTGTATTAAAGCATAGAGAGACTGTTTCCAGATGACCCGTGGTAAAAATCGCGTCGAAAATTGCATGGATTGACTGCTGCTTCATAGCTTAGAAGCGCAGACAGTTTAGTGAGCCATTTTGATTTATTCCATCGTATTCCCAAGCCAAAAAATAGTGAATTTTGGCTCCATTGCAAATGATGGAAATAATGTGTATAGCTCATGTGTTTTGAAAATATAGCTTGACCTTATGTCAGTGAACTATTTCAAGAATTTGATAGCCTTATATCAAGAAACTTAAGCATAGAATTCCAGAGGTTCATTTGAACTCAGCCTATATAATTACATAAGTTGTTTTGAGCATGTTGAGAATCTTTTATATCTAAAGTCTAACATATGGTGTTTATCCAAAATGATCCTTTTTAGATTATTGATAATATAGTTTAGCTATGTGCCTTTCAACGTTTGACAAATAGTGCATTATAGATTGCCCAACACTTCTAAAGCTTATTTAAGATAGTGACACATCAATTAACAAATGGTGGATTATGATGTTTTCAATTTCTCACAATCATATGCTCTACTATACTGGACATTAGGTAAGAATAAGTTACTTGACTGCTGGAAGCTTTGGAGCTCGGTTCTGAAACGGTGGCGTAGTTAAGGGTCCAAACTGGACTGGGCTGGTACAAAGATTTTTTGGGAAATTTTAACATATAATTTTTTGCACTAATATTTAAAGCATTTTTTTAATTTGGGGTGGGCGAGGAACTAGCATGAATCCAGCTCCGCCCATTTATGAATGTTCCTTTGACCTTTGGAATTGTCAAATTAACAATATTAGTAACCCATGTTCCATTGACCTTTGGATTTGGAAATGGAAAAATTGAAAATAATAATCCCAATTATTGCCGGTCCGCTAACAATAATCCCAACTATTGATTATTTTTGTATAATCTCAACTATATGGACCGTCTGCCAATAATGGTCCATGACCGCATATTACCTGATCCAACAAGTGAATTTTTAATAGAAATTAAGCGTAAAAATTAAAATTTGGGATTATTTATAGGGATTACCTGCTATATCTCTTTAGAAAGTATAAGAATTTATTTACAGTCGGCCATGGCGGACCATTATTGGCAGAAGATCCCTAAAGCTGGGATTATTCTGAAATAATCGATAGTTGGAATTATTATAAGCGGATCGCCAATAGTTGGGATTATTACAATCAATTTTTCCATTTGGAAATCCATAATATGAGAAAAGATATGAGTTAATATGACCGTTACATTGTACTTCAGAAATGCATAGTGATAATTTGAAAAGTTATGAGTTAATAGAGAAGATGGAGGTTCAATATCATTTTTAATATCCACGGACCATGGGAGTCTGGATGCTTTAAGAGGGGGAGAAGGACCACCTGACACTGAAACTGTCAGAATTCAGAAAACTACATAATTTTTAACCATAATACAGTTATTATGAATGAAACAATTTGTCTTTCATTGTAAGATTCTCCTTTCCTGGAGGGACTTCCACTGGATAGTGGAAGGGTTAATGAATTAATGAAGCAAAAAGATGTTATTGGTATACTTAGCAGAAAACATATTATTTTCTTCTGACCCCATTTTTCGTGCAGGTTAAAATCAAGACATGGTTGAATGGCGTAGAAGGGGAAGAAATAGGGGGACTTAGTGCAGCATTTGGTACACTTTTACCTACGGAGGAAAAAAAGGGTGTCAAATTGCGTGCTTCTTACACAAACCCTTTAAATTGCTGTTCCAGTATCTCTCCGAAAGTATGATGCTTACACCGATCTAGAAATGTTATTTCAGTTATCTAAAACATAGAGTTTGGTTTTTATGCTTCTTTGATTTTGTTCAAGTAGTTACTATGAAGCGTTTGTTAATTACAAAGGTGTTTATCATAGAAAGGGATTGCTCAATTAGAAAAGCAGTTTAACAGTCACATTTCAAGGAGATAACATGAGGGAATGGGTATCAGTAATATGAGCACCTGTCATATCAGGTTATTGATATAGAACTAATAAAAGTTGGGAGGGTATGAGGCATAGTTACCTTTTTGGAGTTGTCATCCACTCATCCTATGTTTTTGAGGTCAGGTGATGATAGGCAAAAAAAGGTTTGCGATAGGTCTACAATCAGATTGGATAAAAGGACATAACAAGGGCCATCATGGGTGAAATGCAGGCCTATAAATCAGACAGGAGAACTTTGGCAGTTCGAATCTGATGTGGATTATTAAAAAGGATATGAGAGATGATAATGATAGAATATATGCAAGTTTATCCAAGTTTGGCAGTTGGACTCTGATTTGGATTATTAAAAAAGAAAAGGAGAGATGATAATGGTAGAAAGTAGAATATATGCAAATTTGTGTGTTCGTAGTTTATTATCTACTATGTACAGATTTGGTGTCTTGGGCGATATCCTTATTATATACAAGTTTATTATCACACATATTTGAAAATCAAGGATAGATGGTTTCGTATAGCAAATATATACTAAAAAAGGGAAAATAACTTTACACAATACTACCTCTGTCCCATTTTATGTGTCTTGTTTTGGTTTGACACAATTATTAATAAGTGGTTGAAAAAGTAAAACATGTGGTTGAGATTTGAGTATAATAAAGTGAAATGTTGTGAACCACATATTTCTTTCCAAAAAGGAAATATGATATTTATTTTGGGACAACTCTAAAAGGAAAGTACGACATGTAAAATGGGACCGAGGGAGTATCGGCTATCACCCATAAACCAAGAATTGTACACACTTTGGACATAATATTCAATAATATCAATTATTTGAATACGTAACAAACGTGATACAAAGCTATTTTCCACTAGAAATTTAGTCATTTAACAATTTTAACTCATCATAAATTTATATCAAAATATCAAGTAAGAGACCTCATTTCAAAATAAAGAAATTGCCCTGAATAGGAGTAAAAACGCTTGTGAATTCCAAAATATAAAGTCATGTTTTTATTTCCTAAATAGTACTCCCTCCGTCCCCCTAATATTGGTACGGAAGGGTGTGGTGTGTTTTTTAAGAAAAGTAGAATTATGTGGTTGGTAATGAGTTGATAAAGTGGAAATAAAGTAAGAATGAATTAGAGTCACACAAATGTTACCAAATATGGTATGGGACAATAATAAAGTGACATCCAAAAATGGAAAAATGGGACAATTATAGGGGGACGGAGGGAGTAATAATTACTGCCATGTTTTGGTATTACCAGAATTTAAACATGAAAGTATTTTTCAAGTTTGGCAGTAATTACTCCCATTTAAGCAATAAAAATATGACAGCCCTATTTAAAAAGTCCAAAATGTTTCGAAATAACCTTTATTTGATAGTTTAATATCAGATTTTGATGTCTTAAAATCTTAAATGACTGGATTTTTACTCGGAAAGTAGCTCCTTATTATTTTTGTTATACATTGAAATAATTGGTATTATTAAAAATTATTTCCAAAGTACGTATTATTAGTGGTTTATGGTTAATAGTCAGTATTATTTAAAGTCATTTACCGTTTAAAAATGTTGTATAGTTCAATTCCCATTTTCTTGTAGAAGTAATGTCGTGCAGTCGTGCTTATTTAAATATTGTCTCCTTGGTGGTCAACTTAGCCCTACTAATTTATCGTGCTATCAACTCAAAGAAATTTATGCATTTCTGCCACCTGCAACTTAGGGAGTGTTTGCTACATATTAAAAAGATGTTTTTCAGTTTTTTTCTTAAAAGGCAGAAATTGGTGTCTTCAAGTGACAGTTTTGGTTTACATTAAGTACTTTAAAGCTAAAGGCTGGATGCAGGTGGACGTGTGCTTGAAACTACCTTTCACTTTTTTGTATTACACAAAAACTCAAAAAGTACTTATTTTACCAAACACTTTATAACTTTTACGTTTTCAAAATCACTTTTTCAAACACTACAAACTTTTACTATTAAGCACTTTCTCTAAAAGCACATAAAAAATCACTTTTTAAAGAAGCAACCACAAACACTCCTTTATACCTGTATATTGAATGGGGTTCATTGTGGTGACTATGAAGATGCTTTAGAGCTATAATATGTAATGTATTGAAATGAACTCTACATCTTCGAATTATTTTTGTAATCATGAATACAGAACAATATTCCTATGTGGTTGAGTCAGATACCTTGCTAATGGCCTCTGCCCTCTCTAGAACATAGATATTTTGGAGATTTAAGTTAATAATCAAATTTTAGACTTGGACTCAGAGTCAAGCTGGTGATTTTTCTTACACGTTCTTGTCTCCAATAAACAAAATATGAAATCAATCGAATTGTACTAACGTTAAGTTTTTATTGCCGGGACTTGATCATTTGGCTATTTAAAGATCTATTGATGTCTTGTAGTTATTGGGTGCTATGGCATTAGCTATGCGTGGTGAATGTGATTTTTTAACAAAGGCTAAAGTTGCGCAAGGGGGAGGTGCTGAAGGCATTGTGATAATAAATGAGGATGAAGGTTTGAGTTTTTTTATTTGCTCAGAGTGTTAACTTTGCTGAAATATTTTACTCCTTACTTTCTCATTATACTGGGTGAAGTTCAATTGGGAAATAAACTATTTCTTTACTTCCTGCAGCTCTAGTGGAGATGGGTTGTTCTGGAAATGAGGATGTCCAAATAAAAATACCAGTTGTGATGATATCTAAATCTGGAGGAGACATAATTCAGAAATACATGGGTGCTGGAAACAAAGGTAAACAGTAGTTTCTCCTGAGATGGGTACCTTTTAAAATTGTAATTCCAATCTTGGTATTTTTGTCCCTTTCGCTCTCATTTACTTGTTGAGGGGGTTATAACCTCTTTTGCCCGTTTGTGGATGAACAAATCCAAAATGGAGGAACCCTTAAGAGACCGTGAACCTATAAGAACCTATAAACAGTAGTTTCTCCTGAGATGGGTACCTTTTAATTTCTGATCAGAATATTTCAAGATCTGGTATGGTTTGAATTTTGTCTGGTCTGATTTGATTTGATTTGAATCGTTTTGAATTTTGATTTGATCTAATGTGAATTTTTTTGATATGATTTGATATGAATGTTTCTAATCTGACCAGAACCTTTGTAATCTTATTTAGTGCCTATTATTAAAAGTATTATTATTATTATTAAATTTATTATAAAAGTTATTACTCCCTTTGCCCCATTTTCTAAGAAACACTTTCCCTTTTGGGTCCTAAAAATATGATCACTTTCATAAATTGAACTATGTTAACTTTTTATTTTCTCACTTTATCCCTTTTATCTATCATTTCACCATTTACTTTATGTGGGCTCATCTCACTCTTTCTTACTTTTTGGAGGTTAGAATTGGAAAACAACCACTTTATCCTTTACTTTCTTAAAACCCACACCAAAGCCACATGTATCTTACTTTTTGGGACAGAGGTATTGTTATTATTACTATTATTATTACTACTATCACTATTAGTATTACTATTATATTATTGTTTATTATTACCTCCGTCCCGTTGGAAGGTTCCCATAGCAAAACGGCACGGTTATTTAGGCAATAATTAAATAAACTACTTCGAGTATATTTTGAGAAATAATTTTAATAGGTATATATTATAATGTAGTTAGTATTGATAATTGTGATGTTATAAATGTATTATTTTTAATATTTAATGATTAATTAATTTGTCACATAAGATTGTTAATTGTTTCCTAAAATGGAAATGGGAACCTTCTAACGGGACGTCCAAAAAAAGAAAGTGGGAACCTTCTAATGGGACGGAGGGAGTATTATTATTATTATTACTGTTGTTGTCGTTAATGTTGTTGTTAATATATATTTTGTAATATTGATATTAATATTAATAGGAAAACTACCCTAAATAGGACTAAAACGTTTGTAAATTCCAAAATAGGATTATCATGTTTTTATTCTCAAAATAGGACTAATTATTGCCATGTTTTGGCAATACCAGACTTTAAACATGGGTTACATGGCAGTATTTTCCAAACTTGGCAGTTTTTACTCCTATTTTGGGAATAAAAACGTGACCGTCCGATTCTGAAATTTTCAAACTTTTTTACTCCTATTTCGGGAATTTTCCCATATTAATATTGATCAAAATCATTACCATTATAATTATGATCATAATTATAATCATAATTATAATCATTATAAGTTTATCACTACCATTATATTACATAGTATTACTACTATTATTAAATTACATATACTAACAACCTACATGTGTATACTAATAGTAACATACAGATATTAATAAAAATAACAATACATTAATAATAACAATAATTTGGTGTCCTAATAATATTATCATTCATAATTATCATAGCAACAACGTATGTTGTTATATTAGTTTCAATAACATAACAATAAGGATAATAATAACATTATTCATAATTAATTAATGGAGACAACCTTCAATAATAATAATAATAATAATAAATACAATAATAATAATGTAGTATAACAATGTTATTATTTTTAAAATATTAATAACAAGAACTTATGCTTTTACATAATATATTAACATACGGACAACAACAACAACAACAATAATAAATAACATCAACAATAATAATGTTAATCATCATCATATTAATAGTAACAATAATAGTAATAATAATAATAATAATAATAATAAGAGCCCATTTGGTGACGATGTTTTTCGGCTTATCAGTCTTATCAACAATTTTTTTTATCAAACACGTAACTTCTAATTTTGCGGGCTGAATTGTGTAATACTCAGAATAAGTAAGGTTGCAGACTTGCAATTACTTTTCTGGCTGAATTGGATGAAGTTACTATAGAAGACCATTAGCTATTTTTTCATATAATGTTTTCTTTATTTTATTAATAAAATACTCCCTCCGTCTATTTTTGCTAACCAACTTGACTTTTCAAGTCAATAGTGTCTAACTTTGATCGATTATATATTTATATACAAAAGTATTGATAATATGAAAATGTCCATTGTCAAAAATACTATCATAAAAGTATAAAATTATTAATTTTTGTATAAATATATTAGTTAAAATAATTCATCAAAATTTACCATCTTTGGTTGGAAAAGTCAAAGATGGCTCTAACTAAAATGGGATGGAGGTTGTATATTTTAATATTTTTTTCATAAATAAACAGAATCAACCAATTCAACCACTTCAGCCAGAACTTCATAAATTCATAAATTGCAGCCGATCAGTCGATGAAGCTAATTCCAGTTTTACCAAACAGGCTCTAAAAGTAATAAATCACGTCTGATTTTTTTTATCTCATCTAAATGTTTTCAGTCTGATCTGAATCGTTCTTATTTGAATAAAATAAGAATTAACAATAAGAATAAGATGAATGAATAAGGTAGAAGAATGAATACCAATTGGAGGACCCTTGAGAGATCTTAAACATATAAATTTGACTTGTTATGTCTGCTTAGGTTTAGTTTGTGAAAGGTTGAAGTATAATTTTGTACTAGACTATAATAGGCTAGTTCTTGGGAATCTTCACAGTTCTTTTTAATGCTTCTGGTAGGAATGCATTAATTATCACGGTCACTACAATTAATTGCATATGATGTACCTGATGTTTTTAATATACTACGTAGTATGTAATATGTTACTCTGTATACTAGTGGATGCCATATGGCTAGTATTTAGACGTGTTCTGTATTTGTATGCTTGGACATGTACAACTAATTTTTGCAGTACCAGTACTTATAAACATAAATCTTTAAGATAGTAACCCATTGTCTAATGTGAGTAATCTAAACTTTTTCATCGAATGATTCATAAAACTATTTTTCAATTTTTTCTTGCAGTGCACCTGCTTTTGTATGCGCCAGATCGCCCCATTTTGGATTACTCAGTGATATTCTTATGGTTGATGGCTGTTGGAACTGTTTTTTGTGCATCTATTTGGTCAAAAATTACTGCATCCAAGGCGATTGATGACTACCAACTATCTTCCAAGGTTCTGCAAATAAATCCATTATTTGTCTCATTTTTATTGGGTTATTATCGTTGACCTCCTCAAGGTTTGTCATATTATGAGAATACCCTTGTACAAATAGGCACTTTGCGCCCTATGATTTTATATTATACACATAAGTACCCCTGCACATATGAAAATGTATGCATATAGACTCTAGAAAGTGTGTCACTTACGTCCCGTAAAGGAAGGCGAGTGCCTATTTATCATAGTGCAAGGGTCTTTGTGATAATAAGTCAAACCTCAAGGAGGTCACTGCTAATGAACAATTTTTCCTTCCTGTGATCCTCAGAATGGTGTCTTCTGATATACCTGAATCCGTATGAGATTTCACAATCTACACTCACAATTATTATGGGTACCTTTAACTGAAAGTGATATCTGGAATAATATCATTTTTGTAGCTTAATAATTGTTTTTAAGTTTTAACTGATGTATGTTTCCTTCACCATCTCTCAGTTCCAGATTTTGGTCAAATTGTTACTTTCGACTTTTTGAACCATTTAAATATGTGTTCCAGCCTGCTTGTTATTTTGTTAGGTACACAGAAATTTGGCGGTAAATTGAAGCAGATTATGATGAAATTGATGAAACTGAAAAGAGAAAGATACAATGGAGACACTTCAAGTAGTCTCCAGCACTCCCAAGACCCAGTCCCAAACTAATTTCTGCCTGTCTCCTCCTTTCCTCACTCCCACTCTTATACTAATTCTATTCTTAAGGGCCGGCCCAAACCCATAACATGCATGGCCCGAAACCCTTATTTTTACTCCACCACAATTATTTAATATAACTCTATTACTATTCACTATTTTCTTCGGCCTAGGATCCTATCATATTTGTCTGCATTTCACAAGAGTAGCCTACTCTTGTGATGGTTATTCTGAAAGATGTGAAATAAGAATGAGGCGGAGCTGAATCCATTTTTTAGGAGAGTCAACGAGAACCTTTTCCAGCATTAAACTTTTTTTAAAGACCAAAAAGTGTTAGAGTGATGTGCTAAAGTACTGTTTGATAGATCATAGATGATGTTCTTCTGAACCTAGCCGATCTAGGTATAATTGTGTAAATGGTTGTGGACTTGGGGAGCCCATGAGTGGATGTGTATTCTGTAACACACTTCAACTTTGTGCAGTCAGAGGAGGAATGACATTGTGTATTTGTGTTTTGCCATTTTGTCCATAAGGTTGCTTTGAGAATAAGATATGCATGTCATGGGCTTTGAGCGGCTAGAAATACATTTTTTAATAAAGGTCATCACACAGAAAAGAGAACAAAATGTGGAAGAAATCCAAGGAATATTATGTCACTCCTAATCCCGATAATATACTTTATATCCTATTGAACTTGGGGTCTCCAGATACCAACTGAACCCAAGACCGTAGTGTAACGCTGAGTTTAAGTAGTCCAATGTCGATGACTAGTTTTATCATAAAACTTTTATGTAGGCGTCAGTTGTCCTTTGATGCCCAATTTAACTTTGGCATGTATGGCGTTGAAGAAGTGAAAGACTAAGTTGTTTCTTGAAAAGTTTTGAAAGTTGTCTTGAAGCTCAATAAGCATCATTTTTTGGCTGGGGGCAGGGAGTGTCCCTTGGAAAGACATCTTTATGGTGCTCCTCTAGCCTCTGAGGCCTGTGATTATTATCTCTCTTTACTAATATATGAACAAGGAAGTTCTAATAAGTATGGAGTATAAGACATGAAAGGGTTAAATTGTATAAGTATCAATTAGGAGATATAATACATGGGGTTTAAATCATTTTGGGAACATGCTAGGTGGTTTTTGATCTTTTACTTCACGAATTTCCATGGTAAATGAGCATAATTTTTCGCCCTTTTCATGTGCCATTAAGTTATGAATGCTCTTTCTCTGTCAAGTTTGAACATGATCTCTTTTTCCCAATCATTGATTATGTGTCAAAAGAGAATAGTTGTAGTTGTTGTACAATTATATATCAATACGTAATGTAGCTGAAATATCTAAGTTTTGTTAGTACATCAAATGTCTCATGCATGTATATCACTTCTTATGTTGATGATCTTTTTTTGCATGAATTATCTTTAGGAATCTGCAGGAGCAGCAAAAGATGAAGGTGATGAAATACTCAATATTAATGCAAAAAGTGCCATAGTCTTTGTCATTTCAGCCTCCACTTTTTTGGTGCTACTATATCTCTTCATGTCTTCTTGGTTTGTGTGGGTGCTGATAATACTTTTCTGCATCGGTGGAGTTGAGGTATTGATTCTTGCCTTTTTTTAGATTCCAATGCCAAGTGTAATTGTCTTTTTCGTTCATGACTAGCCTATAAAGAAACCCTCTCGTTTTCAAAGCATTGGAGGTTTTCCTCCTTGCTTTAATTTCTATTTATTGATACTCTTATATAACGTCCAATAACTATAGTTTTCTTTCTTGAGTTTATGCTAAGCTCGCATTTTTTCTAAAATGTACTAGGGTCAGTTCGCCCTTAATTTTCACATATTATGATGTGCATATGCAATCATAATGAATTAAAAAACAAAATAGCCAGTGTTACTTATTAACGTCTTTTCGGTCATGTTCCTTGCTGTAAAAGTTGATATTTCAAACCCATGTTTTTTGCAGGACATGGTTATAGTAATTAACTCAACTTATCATGGTCTAATGAAATTTCTTGTGGGATTGGAAAAACATATGATTATGACGGTGTTGAAACTTGAAACTTCATCTAACTATTCCTTCTTAAGAAAGTTGTGACCGCCTGACAGGAAGAGCATGCGTCGTAAAACTTCAAGACAATGATTTTACATGAATTTACTTTGTTAATAATCTAGACAGTTAAGTGACGCTATTATTCTCATGCCCCCGCAACAACAAGGTTGGGATTGTAGTATATGTGATGAGGATGATGATTAATAATGTCATAACGTCTTCAAAGAAACTCAAAAGAAAAACTTTTCTCATGAGTGGTTCATACGTAGTTCTAAAAACTATGGTTGCATACATCATCCCATGATATTTACTATCTCAACGCATCACCATCTTATGATTTTTTAAGTTCAAGTGTAAGTTGCGACACACAAGGTGCCCGTTGTCGAAAATTGACTCACTCGACATGATGACCTTTTGTTTTATTTGATTTTACACAATTATTGACACATTAAACAATTTACCTACCCAACCTAGTACGACTTGGGATTAAGGTGGTGGTGATTATGATGATGATGAAACGATGAGACATCATCCTATATTCCTATGCTATGTCGTTACATAATTCCCAAAGTATTTCGATGACGCCATCTGTAGATTTTTGTTGCATACAGATTTGAGTGGGGGAGGATAAGCAAACTTTTCTTCTTCGTTTTTAAAATATCATATTTAACATGTAATGGATTGACAAGTTTTTTACTACCTACTTTTCATCTCAGGGAATGCACAATTGTATAGTAACACTTATATCAAGGTAATTAGTATTGCTTTATTTTAACTTATTGCTTAAACTAAATATTTTGTTTTACGTACATAATAGTACCTTCTACAATTCAGATTCTCATCTGTTCATATCTTATGGGCAGTAAATGTAAAGCTTGTGCAAGGAAGATGGTAAATTTGCCACTTCTGGGGGAAACATCCATTTTATCTCTTGCGGTGTTGTTACTTTGCATGGCTTTTGCCATATTTTGGGCTGCAAACAGGAAAGAATCATACTCTTGGATTGGCCAAGATATTCTTGTAAGTTTGATTTTAAATTTAATTTCATCAGCTGCCTTAAATTGTTCTGCCTTTTTTGGTGATACAACCAGACCCATTGTTCAAATAATCAAATCTTATTTTGAATTTATAATGGTCTGTGATATTTAGGCGATATGCTTCTTTTAGTCCATGCTAATACTTGTGTCAAATTATTGTACATCTCTGCATGACTTAATGCTTCTTTTGAAGTGCTTGTATGTATTACAGTTGAGTTAAGAGTAGTTTTCTTGTTTCCAGGGCATAGGTCTAATGATAACCGTCCTGCAGATGGCTCAGTTACCCAATATAAAGGTACTTCATTATGTGCATAGAACTATATCTAATAAACTTTTCCCGTCCCAAAAAGAGTCGTGTTTGAGTAAGGTACAACATATTTTTAGTCAACTTAGTCAAGGCACAAGCTTTACAAGCTATAAATTAACCTGCCTGCTTCTTGGCTGTATAGGAATTTAAATTAAAAAGTTGACTTTTGAAACCTAACTTTTTGTTTGGACGTAAAAAGCTCTTGAAACATTCCGCTCTTTTTTGGGACGACTTACCAATTATTCATTAAAGTGAGCATGTCTTTACCGATATTAAGGTACTTCATTATGTGGGTAGAAGTAAGTGTAGACCTATATGTAGTTTGCCATTTATTTGATAATTGAATTTGTTCTAGGTTGCTACGGTACTACTGTGTTCTGCATTCATGTACGACATTTTTTGGGTATTCCTATCACCTCTAATATTCCACGACAGCGTTATGATTGCGGTAAGAATTGGTTCATTTATCCATTTACTTTTCACATATTAGATAGATAAGCTTTTTGTTATCAAAAGTTGTTAATAGAGTTGAGATTTTCATAGTTATTAAACATGGGCTAATGCTTTTTGAGCTGGTTCTAAAATGTTTACTGATTTTCCAATGTATTGGAGAAATTAGACAACAATTATGTCATACCAAATCCCTAGGTTTTTAGCTCTGTACTCATCAAGTGTCCTCTTCAACACTAGAAATATTACTAATACTGCCCGATTTTTCTCGCTTTGGCATCCACTACAATGTAAGAGTGTGTGCATGTTTGATAGGAGTAAAATTTGGTCAATATTTTGAAGTGGAAGAAGACTCGTATAGGACTAAAACATAGCTCAACTACTTGAATAGGAGTCCTTAAACTTATTCACCTAAATAGGACAAAAAATTTGATGAAGTGACAAAGGTATCCCCATTTACCCATATAGTCCTTTAGTTCTAATGCTGCCGGTTCTAGCAACAAATGTCAGCAGACCTACTGCTATGAGACCTTTGACCACCCCAATGTCCGGTGGTCACCGTCAGATCTCCGGTGAACCCCTCTTGGTGGTGCCGTGAACCTCTAGCCAATAGGATTGTACACTGTTGTTTTTATGATCAGTGCCATCACATTGCCATCCTAAGGAAAAAATATCAAAGTTGCACATATTTCACTTCTTACAATACATGTTCACCATTGTGGCATTGCAAATCTGGAATAAATAACAAATTAAATAAAAAATTGTCAGTGTAAACAATTTTTTAAATATTGTCAATGTTTTAAGCTCCAAGTAATGCCAATGTTACAATAAAAGTGACAATGTTAAATTGATGACAGTGAAATCTTATGTGAGATATATAATAATCGTAGGACCAAAAGTGGAATTTATTCTTATAAACTGAAAAAACTATATTACGAATAAAGTGAACTTTTAATGAAGTCTTTTGTTAAGAAAACAAGATAGAGACCAAAAAAGAAAGATGGCACAAGAAGAAAATATGAAAAAGAATTTGAACAAAAAGTTTCAGAAGAAGAACGGCTCAGCGCTGGAGAAGACAGGAGAACAATTGTGAGAGGCAGATGAAGATAGGGTTATGAAAGTTAGGAGAGCAAGAGAGAGACGGATCTGAACGTAAGTTGAGATGAGGACTGGGAAAGGGTAGAAAAAGGGGGTAAAAGTGAGTTTTTGGACAATATTACTCCTATTTAGGATTAAAAGTATATGTACTCCTGTTTATGTATATTGTGTATGTTTTGCTCCAATTTAGAACCATTCCTGAATCCTGATATTGAAATGACTGAATGGGCGGAATACACTGAATTGTCATGAAATGGATGGATTTACTCAGTGGACTGAATTATCTAAAACAAGTTTGATTAAAAAAGGCAGCCCGGTGCATAATGGTGTCCCCGCAAGGCGAGGGTTTGGGGAATGATTCCATAACAAGGGTGTACATGGGCAAGCCTTGCCTTGTCATTTTGACAACATGCCACTCCCAAGATTTGAACCCATGACCTCTCGGTGATACAGCAACACCTTAACAGGTGCACCAAGGCCCCCCCTTATCTAAAAATAATGTTGGTATTTTTATATAATAAGTTAAAGAAAATAATGTCTTGAGAGGAAGAGAGAAATGTCATTTACTTGCATTTTAGCCATTTCTCTTTAAAAAAAAGGTGCAAATTATGCACCATCTTTACAGCCTGCTTTAAAATTAATTAAGGTTGTGGTTGGTATGAAATCTAGATACAATAACAACAACAACAACAACATCCAAGCCTTAATCCCGGTTGGCTAACATGAATTGATCCATGATATCAGAGCCAAAAGAGAAGAAAGATAATAAAAATAAAAAAATAAGGTAAGATAAGATGAATAAGATAAAAATAACATAAGAACATAAGATAGATAAAAGATGGTATGAAATCTAGATAATAAGAAAGAAAAAAAACTACCGAATGCGCACAAAGTCTAGTAAGTAAATTAAGGAGCAAAGTAGTAGTATCATGTGGTCTAGATCAAGTTCTTTTAATACGCCATCCTTGTCCTGATTTCTTGCTCTCAGCCTCTTATCATTAAAAAAGAACCAAAACAGTTTCCTGTAACTCGCCCAAGTCTTTCAATACTTCTTAACCTAAGGTCAACCATTATCATTTACATTGTTTTCCTGTTACTCTCCCATTACTTGGCTCAATGGTTACCATAGAGGGTACCGCTCAACGCCCAACAACCGAGAGATGAGATTTAACAACTTTTTGTAGGTTGCTAAAGGTGACAAAAGTGGGGGAGAATCCATCCCAATGCTTCTAAGGGTACCTCGACTCTTAGATCCTTGGGATGGTTATGATATGATTGGGTTTGGAGACATTCTGTTCCCTGGCTTGCTAGTTTCTTTTGCTTTTAGGTATGCTCTCTTCTTTTATCTTGTATTTTTTACACTAAACAATTTTAGTTTTAAGAAAAAGGGGAACACACGCATATACTCCCCAACTACTTGAGTAGTCCTCTTGGGTTCTTTTGAAATATACCTTACCCTGAATGCATATGCAAATACGAAAAACATATAAAGTGGATATGGGTCTAGATTCTGGAATATTGTTCACTGTTATAGTCTCCTTTATGTAACAATGTATGTATAAAAACAAGAGTATTAAAATCCAAATATTAATGAACATGCATAATGCATCAATTGGACAAATTGCTTATTTATCGCGACACGCTTCGTTGTGGCGTGGTTTATAAATTGTTAATGTTTTTGCAGGTTTGATAAAGCAAACCAGAAGGGTCTACTGAATGGATACTTCTCTTGGCTAATGGTTGGGTATGGAGTCGGTAGGTATTCTTGCTTAATGGTTTGTTTGGTTAGATAGGTTTTAGTAAGAGAAAACATGCAAGGAGAGAAGTCTGAATACTCCAGTGCCTCGTATTTGTATCTTTATCTTCCTGTTCCATGGTCAAACTAATTTTGGATTGCTGCAGGCCTCTGCTTTACTTACCTGGGGTTGTATCTAATGAATGGGCATGGTCAACCTGCCCTCCTCTACCTTGTACCCTGCACATTGGGTATTGTATTTTCAAATCCATATGATTAATAATTAATTATAGATTTGTGGGCACTTTTAAACATTTTGTTGCTCTATTTGATGTAGGAACTTGTGTCGTGCTGGGTATGATTAGAGGTGAAATGAGAAAACTTTGGACCTATGGCACTCAATCCACTGAGATGTCTGGAAGTGCCTGATATACTGTGTACTGTGTATACCAAAAGAAACAACTGAGTAGCTTCTGAAGGTTAAAGACCTCGGTATTTCCAACTATCTACTTGTTATTTTCATTTATTGTTCTCTTATGTTTGTAACTCCTTACTGTATATATTAGTAGTCGTGTACCATAAACGGAATATTTACTTTACATATTGTGCTGTAATATACTTATGTAGCACATTGTAACACCCCTTCACATTTTGTTGATTGTGTAATGAATTGCTTTACTTTTCCAGATTAAATTGGACTTTCTAATTTACCTCCACTCTAGATAGATGTTCTAAGATGCGCTTAATGGAGCCAGTAGGTGGTGCGCTTATATGGAGACAGACAGACCATACCATAGATATGATTCATCGAGAGTAAAATACACACACACACACACATATATATGGTGTGTAACTAGAGGTGGAACTTTTCTGGTTCAAGTTTCACAGTGGCCGTTTCCAGGTCTGGGTAATGCTGGAACCGGAACTGTAACCAATTATACATAGTCTGGTTTGTTATCAGTTCTCATGTTAGTTCCAGTCCGGTTTTTTAGCCGGTTAAAAAGAATACAGAACCATCTGGTATCAGTTCTGGTCTGGGATTGGAAAACCGGCTCAGTCTTCAGCAGGTCCTGGCCCAGTCTAGAACAGGGACCATGCCCACCCCTATCTATAAGGGTCACTTTGGATGTGGAGGTTTAGGAGGGCTAAACCTATGGTGGTAATTGATCTAGTACCCGTGGAGTGGAGCTCTATTCTAGATTCGTTTGTTTAGGATTTATGTTTGTGATTGTTTGTATAAATGGAACAAGCACCAGCCCAAGCAAAACGAGTTTGTATTTTATGTGTTGGTGTTTGTTTGTCGATTACAAACAAGCCATTTTAACTTTGGTGAAGCTTTTCCCAAACAAAAAATGAACATGACAAATTCATTACTGGCTTATTAGCAGTTATTTGGTCCAATAATTTAAAATACATTTGGCATGCATTTTGACAATAGAGATAACTACTCAAAATTTTGGCCTGAATATCAGAGTCTAGGTATGCGGTATGCCCTTAGTGAACCCCTGAGATTTGGTTCTACTCAGCATCCCCTAGGGAATCACCCTAATTCAAATTGTGTTGAATTCAAATAATAAAAAAAAACGAATTGAGTTACACAATCCAAACTAAATCAAACCAATCAAACCCAATGGAAATACTTGGTATGAAACTTGATAAATGTTCTTCCAAATTGGATATGTTTCAAACCAACAAAACCAAAAATCGATAAAAAGCCAAACACAAACGGATATGTTCACCTTTACACACTTCAATTTACGTGAGAAATTTCTCATTTGCAGCTAAAACATGACATGTTCCCTACGCAAGACTTGTAATTAATAAATTCACGAGCTTTGAACAAGCCATACACCAACGGTTCAACAATCAACAACCCTTCAACTGATGCTTTCGTTTACTGTCCTCCTAAGTGTATAGAGGGAATGTCCGTTCTAATAATTTGTTTTTTTGTCCTAGAAAACATTCTATTCATCCCAAGCCTACAGCCAATTATTCCAAGGATGTTTATCCCAATTTACACAATAGTGTTTCGAATTGAAAACCATTCACACTGGTACTCTTCTTCTGGAGAGAAGGGTGGATACAAAATCATCAATTGCGTGGAGAGAAGACCCTTTACCGCCTTCATCGGCTGCTGCATCTTCTTCCTTCACAGCTGCCCTGATCAAGTCCTTGACCCGGCCCGCTTTCTCTTTCATTTCCCTGCTGCCTAACACAACATCTATCACTCTCTTCACATCACCCCTGACAATATTGCTCTTAAAGCCCTTGGTCAGCTCTATACAGACCCCCAATTCCTCCGCCATCATCTTGCAATTGAAGGCCTGCTCTCCCGCCATCGGCCACCCGATTAAAGGCACCCCTTGGCTCAAGCTCTCGAGGCTCGAGTTCCAGCCGCAATGGCTCAAGAATGCTCCCGTCGATTTGTGCCACAGGATCTCCAGTTGTGGTGCCCAGCCGTGGATCACCAACCCTTGCTTTGGGCCCTGTCTCTGTGCCTGAATACCAAAAATGGTTACACTAATTGTCTACAAAATTGGACTTTGTAGGTTGTACAATGTTTTTCTTACAGCTATCACTTTCTTCACATTTTACAATCATTCGTGGTCAAGTAGATAATTGTCTGTCCCACGGACAATAATACCAAGTATATATACTATGTATATATGAAATGTTATAAATATAAGTTTGCTATACTTTTCGTTTTTGGAATATATTTAAAAGTTTTTGATACACTTGCCTTTGTTTGGTAAGTTTATCGTTTAAAAGATACTCAATTATATCAACTTTGTTATACTTTTTATCTTATCTTTCATACTTTTTCATTCTCCCTCCTACTTTTTCTACATTAATTATTATCCTTATTATTTCGTCCTTAAATAATGTGCCCAAACAAACCTATTGTCGCGAATTTTAAACACCGAGGGAGTATTGATTTTCATATATGTGCAAAGCACATATACATTAGCCGTTAGCCAATCCGTGTCTTGCTTTCTGTGCATGCTTTTCAATTTGTGTTTTTTTAACAAATTGCTTGTATTATGGTGAAATACTGAAATCTAGAGGGCGTGTCACGTGTGTACAAAAAACAACTCCAAATGGGACTCTCCCATTTTTTTAAAAAAATTACTAATTTTCTAGATATTCTTTCACATTTGTTTGTGTCTTAATTTCAATACGTTGATTACCACCAACTCCACTTGATGTGTACAAAATGTGTACACTAAAGTGTATAAATGTCACTTTTCTTCATAAAAAGGTGGTATTTACATTCAACATCTTGTACACACCTTATACACATCATGTCTGTGAATCTTTTTTTTGTCTGTGAATCCGGTTCACAGACAATATTTTGTTTGTGCAAAACATTGTCTATGAATCGATGTTCACAGACAAAAAAAGCTTTCACAGACATAGATGTGTACAAAAGTGTGTATAAGAGTGTGTACAAACATCATTTTTTATTTACATTTCATTCTTTGAAATTTTTATAGATAAGGCGTCTCTACTTTGCTTTGACAGTAAGCTAGTAAGGTAGGGTCTCGGGACTTTCATTAAACGTCTCATAAAAAAATAAACGGTAGAAATCTTACCTTTCACATTTTCCACCAATCTTACTCTTGAGGCATCTCGCTCTCCATTAGTCGCTCTCCTTAGTCATACAATTTTCCAAACATTTAATATTTATGATGTTTCTGTCCCCTCTTTTTAGGAAAGTGATGTTGACTACCCCTTCCAAATGGTACTCGTATAATATTTTTGTCAATTTACTTTCATTTATGGTGCATTTTTTACAAAAATTATACTCCTAATCAAATTTTGTACGGAGATATATTTTACTTAAATTACTCCAAATAGGACTAAGAGCCCGTTTGGTAACACTAAAAATTGGCTGAATTGGCTGATTCTGCTGAAATTTATGAAGTTCTGGCTGAAGTGGCTGTATTGGCTGATTCTGCTGATTCATGAAAAAATTATATTTAAAATATTTGTTATTAATAAATAAAATAAAAATTATATGAAAAAATAGCTAAAATGATCCTCTACAGTAACTTCAGCCAATACAGCCAGAAAAGTAACTACAACCTTACTTTTTCTGCTTATTACACAATTCAGTGCGCGAAATCAAAAGTTACGTGTTTGGTGAAAAAGCTGGCTGATAAGCCTGATAAGCCGAAAAAAAGGGTCACCAAACGGGCTCTAAAACTATGATAAAAACTCAAAATAGAACTATGTTTTTCTTTTCAAAATAGGACCATATTAGTCATATCGGAAACATATCTATTTTTTCATTCCATTCTTACCCTTCCTTTAAATATGAGTTAATTGAAGGTTTAATTCATAATAAATTCGAAAAAAATTCAAAATTCGTAGAAAAATAATTAAAAAATTATATAAATACTTCTAAAATAAACAATTAAAAAATATTTTTTTTTAATTTTTTATTTTTTTTAAATAATAAAAAGTAGTAAAACTACATAAAAAATTAAAAAATTATGGATGTCTTTCCCACCGCCTGTACTACCTCCCTGCACCACCATCTCCGGCCGGTGAAAAAATGTCATTTTTCCTGAAAAACTGCTATTTTTTCTGAAAATACGAAAAACATGGCATATTTCTCTTTGAGAATGCCAACATTTTCATTGTTTTCTGCCATAGATATGACATTCGTAATGAACTTGGCATTTTCCCCCTGGTGACTGGAGGTGGTGGTGGAGAGGCGGTGGTGAATTTTATTTTATTTTTTTGAGTTTTTTATTTAAAAAAAGATTATTTTTTTTAAATAAATAAATAAATAAATTATTATCGAATTATTTTTATTACATTTTTAGTCTTTTTTATGAATTTTTATTATTATTTTTATTTTATTATGAATTAAAACATTTCAATAGCTATAAGAGTATATTTTCCAAGACACACATATTTAGTTCTATGAAAATATAGATTATTTTTTGGTCATATTTGTACAAAGTGAGTGACTTTTAGTTCTATTTTGATAGTTAACCCATTTTACTTTCTTTGTCTCTTCAATTTTTTTTGCAATTTTCCTTTTTTAGTTGTCCAACTAACTTTGTCAATTTCTTTTTTAGGTAATAAATTTGTGGTTCCAATTAATTCTCTCTCCTCTGCACAAACCTACATCACACAGTTTTTACTTTATTAATCCTTGTGTCGATCAAACATGGCAAAGTTTTAAGGGACAGATGTAGTATGATCTTTTATATGATACGAATATTGCATATGTAAAATTTGTAAAAAAGAATGTTGCTAAAAATAAAAAAATGTTGTTGGTAAACATATTGCGTCATCAACCCTGGTTGTTTGTCCACACATGCAATTCGTTAAAAAGTTGCCTTGCAGACAGACAACTAGACATGGTATACACAATATGTGTGCAAAGTATGCTTACACCAAATATTGTTGGTTGAAAATAGATTTGTTCAATTTTATACGAAGTATGCAATATTAAATAGGGGTGGGATCGATCCGGCCTGCGTCGGGTCTTTGCTAAACCAGGAAATTACATGTAAGGTCTCAAGTTATGAAAGTTAGGGACCGGAACAAGGCCCATTATTTTCAGTCCGAGACGGGTTTTTGGTAGCTCGAGTTCGGTCCCAATTCGAGTTGGGTCGATTAAAGCCCGAACGTGAAAGCATCTCATTGTTCTTTTATATGTTAAAACTTATTTTCAAATAAATTAATCAAAAATACAAACCGCAAATAATAACACAAATATTAGTCTCCAGAATCATCACCACTTCAAATCCAAAGAAGATAATTATCTTAATATTTTGTTTAAGATGCATATAAATAAATAATATAGGTTTTCAAATATGACTAAAAAGAGGGGACAAAATATATGACGAAATATGACTAGTTTAAGATATATGACTAATAAGATGCATAACTTTACCAAATATGAAGTACGAAATAAAACTTATACATAAAAATACGACTAAACTTACTATAAATATATTTTATAATATGGTAAGCAAATTGAGCACATTTGTAATCATTAAAAGTTATCAAGTCATTTTTTTCACCCACCCTGATTATAATCATATGTTAGGAGTTATTTATAAATTATACGGAGTATTTATAAATTATATTAATTTTATTTTAAAACCAATTGTTTCGGGTTTTATATGTTCGGACCGAGTTATTGATTTTAAAGCCTATTAATGAGTCCGAACTTTCGGGTTGGGTTCGGTTACAAAGAAAAAATCGGAGCTGTTAATCCTGTTATGAATAATTAGACGGAAAATCATCACCTGATTCTCTTCTAGAAACCCTTCCGGCAACCATTCGGATTTGAATTCCCCTTTAATGTCAAACCCGATGGGCGGCCTTATCACCCAAATGAACGCCTTCCCGCTATCCTTCAAACCCAGAGCCAATTCCATCATCTGCGAAGCGCTTATGGTGTTCTGCGACCCGAACGAGATGTACAGAACAGATCCTTCAGATTGCTCATCCAACCATTCTCTGCATTTCTCCGGCGACAGTCCGTGAACCTTCCCCGTCCGTTTTCCGGCGATATCCAGAGACCCCGGTCCGTCCTTCAGCATCACCGGAGGCATTAAAGGCCCGACGCACCAAACGGGAAGTTTCGTGAAGCTTCGGAGCGCTTCCGAGCCTAACGGTTCGATTTCCTGAACGGTGTTGCACAGAGATCCAAATGAATCTAAGCTATCGGAGACGAACGATTGGATGACGTTAGACCACGGATCCTTACCGTCTGCGGCTCTCATGTAAGGGTGTAGATGGGAGAGGTTGAACCGGCAGGAATCCGGAAATCCGGGGATGGTGAACTCGCCTCCGCCGTCTGCTCTGGCGGCGGACAGGTGGGGGAGGTGTCGCCAGAAGGAGTTGTAAGCCGTGGTGCCGTAAGCTCCGGAGGTGGTGAAGGACACGTTCACCGTCCCGCAGGAGCGGGCGACTTCGCTGCCCCACCCGATAAACATGTCGGAGATTATGCAGAGCGGAGGCTTTCCGTCTCCGGCGGTGATGTCGGAGATGAGGTCTCGGAAGGGCTCCTTGAGGGAAAGGGTGGAGCGGATGATGGTGATCATGTGGTGCAAGGGCAAGGCCTCGGTGTTCTCTGAGTTGGGAGGCAAGCCATTGTCCTCGCAGCTGAACGGCAGCGCTACCAATCGGATACTCTGTTTGGCGGCGGCGGAGTCATCCCCGGCAGTGTCAATACAGGAGGTGAGGTATTTGACGTTGAGAGGAGTGGTGACGAGGGTGACCCGGAACCCGGTTCGGTGGTGGAGTCGCTGGGCTAAACCCAAAAATGGAATCAAGTGGCCATGCGCCATGAATGGCACCATCACTATGTGTTCCGAGCCACCCATATCTCTCTCTAGTGTTATCTTTGTTTCAAAAACTACTCTAAACCAGAGCAGTATATAAACATGTTATGAACAAATGTACAGTAATGTGGTAAACCATCTAAAATACGTTCGGTCACACTAAAACGGGTTAAATTAATTGATTCTGCTGAAATTTATGAAGTTTTGGCTGAAGTGACTGTATTAGCTGATTCTGCTGATTCATGATAAAATTATATCTAAAATATTTGTTATTAATAAATTAAATAAAAAATTATATGAAAAATAGCTAAAATGATCCTCTACAGTAACTTCAGTCAAAACAACCAGAAAAGTAACTTCAACCTTACTTTTTTTGCTTATTACAAACTTAAGCGCGCGAAATCAAAAATTATGTATTTGATGAAATAGCTGGCTGATAAGCCTGATACACCGAAAAATGGTCACTAAACGGGCTCTTAATTATTGGCAATTATGCTATCAATAATTTACTAATTGAAGTGTCCATCTCTTTGATTAGATTGATGGAGATGATGATGGATGGTCTGGGTTGATCAAATCGAAAACCAAATTAAATCAACCGAACTCTAATTGAACATAATACTATTTCATTTATTAATCATTATTAAGTATATTTAATCTAGTTTTAATTCTTAAATGTACAAAATTTCATATATATGGTTTCATTACGTGATATTTATTATTTGTAAGATATTGACATTTGATATTTATAATTTAATTACGCGATATTGATAAAGTTACTATAGCAAATCTTTTTCAATCTTTTTCAAGTGATCATAAATAGAAGGATCTTTGTCTTGGAGTAACATCTATAGATAATACAAGCTACAATTAGGGAAAGGGAAAGTATGTCACATGTCTAATGTTAAGGTATTGAGTTTAATGCACCAAACCCTCTCATAATATAGAAATTCAGCGCATTAGTCATTTGTGATTTAAAAAATGCATCAAAACCCCTTGTGTTTTAATTAATCATGCACAGAACCTCTTTTATGAATAAATTTAATGATTTGGAAATCATTTTTCCTAATATTATGATTGAATATGTGAGTAAATATGTCAAAATTTCTAAATCATACAAAAATGTTAATCATTTTTCTTTTATTTGACAATTGAATTTGTTTATAGAAGGATTTTACGCATAATTAATTAAAACACAAGGGGATTTGACATATTTTTTAAACACAGTGTATTAATGCGCCAAATTTTCATATCAGACGAGGGTTTGATGCATTAAAGCGTTATGGTAGGAATGGTAGTAATGGTAGGTACAACTCCTATTATTTAGGGCCCATCAAAATAAAATCTCATGTTCTTTAAATTGTTATAGCTTTTTCATTTTTAATCTGATTGTTACAAAAATTATATCAAAATTTATAAATTTTTATTGTCTTTCAAATGACACCAATATATTGAATATACAAAACTAAAAATTAATTTAACACTTTAAAAAAACATTTATTTTTTAAAGTTAAATAACTTTTTATTTGTACTCTGATTGTTACAAAAAATATATCTAAAATCACAAATTTTTATTATCTTTCATATGATACCAATATTGAATATATAAAGATAAAAAAATATTTTAACACTTTAAAAACTTCTGTTTTTAAATATACTAGTATAATTTTTTATTTGTACTTTGATGGTTATAAAAAATATGTGTATCATAATTCATAATTTTTTATTATCTTTCATATGTCATTAATGTTGCATATATATGTAATATATATACCCTCACATATATATAAAAAGTTATGTTGACACCATGATCGTATTACTTTTCATTAATGTAATTTTATAGTGTTAAGTACATCATTTAACATACACAAAGCACTTATGAGAATACAATTAAGATTATATATTGAACCGGATGTAATATTATTTATTTCACAAATGAATTTTTAGAATGTTGACTGCATCCGAACAAAGTTTAAAGTAAACATTATGTACTCAATAAATTTATATTCTTAAAAACCATACAATCATGGTGAAAAAAATAATTTTTTATAGAATTTGCGTTATATACATTGCATATGTAATTTTGGGGTGTTTTCTCACACAACTTCAAAGTTTGAGATAGTTATTATTTCCTCCTTTAATCCATAGTGATAGCTCAGAATACAATTGCATAAACTTCATCACTTTTATTTATTGTTTTAATTAGATTTCTATCGGTCTTATATCAGAACAAAGTATATCAAACCAGACTAGATCAAACCCGTTGAGAAATCGGCAGTTGCAAAGTACACATAGAACATACATGTACCAGATCAATTTTGATCAAATCAGATTAGATCATACTTAAATAAACCAGACCAGACCAGATCAATTTTGATCAAATCAGATTATAAATATATCAGAACAAAATATATCAAAATAGTAAGCTACGGATGAAATCTAATCGATAAAAATATAAGTATTGAGCAATTTCTTTTTTTGTTTAGATAAAGATGCTTGAAAAGACGAAATTCATTTGGATGCCACAAGAGTTATAAAAATATTGACTCTTTTAATGTGATAATAGAGACTTACAACATGTTTAGATAATTAGTTAAAAATAAGGAGATTTTGCAATTTTAGTTTTGTTACTTTCGGTTGTTATAGTTATTGATCGTGTAACTTTAATCACTTACAAATTTGGTCTGGTAATTAATAAATTTTTTCAATTTAATACTTTTCCACCAGAAAAGTACACTTTTTGACAGAAAAGTCTGACGTTTGTGACATCTTTTCTGGTATACTATCTGATAGAGTATATCTAGAGAGAAGTGCGAGCTAGAGAGAGAAGTGCAATAATATGCTTCAATAGAATGATTTTGTAACCCCTATAACTACTCCCAAAGGGAGTATTTATAGAGAAAATTAGGGCTGGGCTCCCAAGTCTTGGGCTTGGGAGGCCCATTTACAACTGGACCGCTACTGGGCCGAATACAAAGCCACTAATGGGCTGTACAAATGAGTAAGTGTAAAATCCGATTCTGGGAGGTCTTCTTGGCCGACGAGGGCGTGGCCGACGAGGGCACCCGGGTTCCTTGGACTCAGGACCATAATCCGAGTTGGCCCCTTTTCGGCCGACGGGGGCGTCTTGGCCGACGGGGGCGCCACTCTGTTGTCTTGTGCTTTCTGTTCTTCCGAGTATGTGGGTCCGGGGGCTCAGACCCATATACTCCATCAGGAGTCCCCCACTCTCTAAGCTGAGACGTAGAGACCCCTTTCTGGGGGCTCAGACCCATATACTCCATCAGCTGGCCGGTAGTTGACAGCTGGCCGTCCAGGGGCCTTCTGGAGTACCTGGCATGTGGTGCACTTTCTGGCCAGATCAGCGCAGTCGCGTGCCATCGTCGGCCTGAAGAAACCCTGGACGACGAGACGCCGGGACATGCTGAAAGGGCCCTGGTGTGAGGAGCAGACGCCACAATGAACTTCTTCCATGGCTGTGTAAGCCTCGTCCTGGTGCAGGCATCGGAGGAGAGTGCCATTATAGGACCGTTTGTAGAGTTTGCCATCTTCGATGGTGTAGCTTGGGGCCCTGAGTTTGGCAAGTTTGGCCCTCTCCTCGTCCGGGGGCAGCTCCCCCGTTGTGATGAAGGTGGCGATGTCGGAGATCCAGTCCTCTGGTCGCTGTTGGACGCACAAAACGGGGCTGGCATGGATGCTGGACATGCTCAACTCCTCGATCTTGGCCAACTGGGAGATGTGCTCCGGGGTGTCCGAGCTGAGCTTGGAGAGGATGTCGGCTTCAGCGTTCTCGGCCCTTGGGATCTGAGTGATCTCGTGGGTTTCAAACGCTTTCAGCAATTCCTCCGCCGCTTGTTTGTACTGCTTCATCCGTCCTTCCTTTGCTTCGTATGATCCCTCCACCTGGCCCACTACCAGTTTGGAGTCGCACTTGATTTTGAGGTGCTTGGCCTTGAGGCCGGCGGCGAGTCTGAGACCGCTGAGGAGGGCCTCATACTCGGCTTCGTTGTTGGATACCCTGAAGTTGAAGCGGATGACATAGTAAGCTCTGAACCCTTCAGGGGATATGAGGACGACGCCGCCGCCGCATGATTTCGCGGCCGACGAGCCGTCAGTGAACAGGGTCCACGTATCGTCCGGCTCCGGCCCGGGGTTGGCGACGGCCGTCTCCCTTGCTGTGCATTCAATGACGAAGTCGGCCAGGCTTGCCCTTTGATGGATGGCCTTGGCTTGATCTCAATCTGAAACTGGCTGAGGAAGATCGCCCATTTCACCATCCTCGAGGAGCTTGTGGGGCTCCTCATGAGTGCGCCAAGAGGCTGCTGGGTCAGCACATGGACGGTGTGGGCTTGGAAATAGTGCCCCAGCTTCTTCACTGTGTGGACGATGGCCAGCACCGTCTTCTCAATGGGGGAGTACCTGAGCTCGGCCTCCCTAAGTGTCTTGCTGATGTAGAAGATGGCCTTCTGCACCCCTTCGTCCTCACGGATGAGCACGGAGCTGATCGCCGACGTGCTCACCCCTAAGTACAAGAAGAGGGTTTCGCCGGCTTTGGGCTTGGAGAGAACGGGTGGGGACGACAGGTACCTCTTCAATTCGTCGAATGCCTCCTGGCACTCCGTTGTCCACTTGAAGCTGTTTGCCTTACGCATGATCTGGAAGAAGGGGAGTGCCCTCTCGGCTGACCTGGAGAGCAACCGGTTCAAGGCCGCCAGGCGCCCCGTCAGTCGCTGTACCTCCTTGACGTTGCGGGGCGGCTCCATGTTGATGATAGCCTGCGTCTTCTCCGGGTTTATCTCGATGCCTCTCCGGCTGACCATGTAGCCGAGGAACTTGCCGCCCTGGACGCCGAAGGAGCATTTCTTGGGGTTGAGGCGGAGCCTGAACTCCTTCATTATTTCAAAGATTTCCCGGAGGTCGTCGGCGTGGGAGGAGGGCCTGCCTGCTCTTGACGATCATGTCGTCGACGTACGCCTCCATCGTCCGGCCAAGGACCGCTTTGAAGATCTTGGCCACCATCCTAGTGTAGGTGGCGCCGGAGTTTTTGAGTCCGAAGGCCATGACGAGGTAGCAAAAGATTCCCTCTGGGGTCATGAATGCCGTCTTCTCAGCGTCATCTTCATGCATGGAGATTTGGTGGTACCCTCTGAAAGCATCGAGGAACGACATCAACTCGCACCCCGCCGTCTCGTCC